CATTCGCACGTTGCCCTTGCCCTGACCCTTGCCCCTTGCCCATGCCCGTTCTCATTGTTGTTCCCTTTTTTTTTCTTCTAATGCTTATTCGCATTCGCATTTTCATTTTCATTTGCATGCGGCAGCGGTGGCCCACGCAGCGTATACGCAATTTAGCTGCTTGTCGCCTTGTCGAACAGATCTGATGGTCCATGCCCATTCCCAATCCCACTCCCAATCCCATTCCCATTCCCATTCCCATTGGCATTTCCGTTCAGTTAACGTGCCGCACGGCGCCCACGCAAAAGTCGATAAATTATTAGATTGTAAATAAAGCGAATGCAGAGCTGGGGCAGGAGGGTGGGGTACGGCGGTTTGGCGGTTGGGTGGTTGGGCATCAGCGGTTACTTTCGAGGGTGTGGCAAAAGGTAGCAGCAACTGCTGATGCCGTTGCCGTTGCTGATGTTGATGGCAAAAAACTGGCGTAAAAGAAAAAGATTATTGGTAACCGCAGCAAAGTTTTCTTTCGGCTTTACGCAGCCGGCGCACATGTGTCCAAAAAAACCGCAATAAATGAACGCAACGAAGAAGAAGCAGAGGCAGAAGTAGACGAGCAGCAGCAGTAAAAAACTCACACACGCACACACAGCTGGGCAGGACATATACCGAAAGCTTTACCAAACGGCAATAGTTGTGTTGTTGTGCATGTGTGTGTGTGAGTGTATGTGTGTGTGTGTGTGTGTGTGTGTGTGTGTGTGAGTGTGTGCGTCAGCTGTCGCCAGCTCTGGACAACAGCAGCAACAGCCTAAGCAATATATTTATGTGTGGGTGCACGTGTGTGCGCGCGTGTGTGTGTGCACATAAGTGAGAATGCGTGTAAAGTGTGTGTAATCAATCATTTATGAAATTACGCTACTTCCGCTTTTGACAATTTTCCTTTCAACGGACCGACGAGCGCCCACCCACGAAAAACCCTGCAACGCCTACTGTCCCCAACTGGCAAGCACGGCCCCACACACCTCAACCCCCCCTCACACAGAAGCTCGTATCAGCGATGACGTAAGTGTCTTTGTAATATGTAAAATGCAAATTGACAAATATATATGTGTGTGTGTGTGTGTTGTGCCTTGTGTGTTGTGTTTGTCGAAATCTTCGATGGGCAATAGATTACGATGATGCCCAGCAACAGAATGCGATAGAACAAAAAGTTTTGCCTAACAAAAAATAAAATAGAAATAAATAAAAAACGACAGCTCAAAAAGTGTTATAGAGAGGGCCGAGCACCGCAGCTTCACATAAATAAATATACATACCATATATATAAATATACATACTTCTGTATAAGTTTGTCAAATTTTGAATGTAACCTTGAACCCAGGCATATGAACTCTGACCGCCTTTGTGGCATGAAAATGAATAAGAAAACAGGAACAACTGGAGAGAACAATTTGCTTGAGATGAAAGCTTCTCAGGCAATTAAACAGTGGAGCTTGCAATTAAATTATACAAATAAAAAGTTTAAACAAAATAGCCAACAATGCTAGATAAGTTATGTTCGTCTGTTTACGGAATGAATGGAAACGAAACACTTGTTTGACAAACTACAAACATGATTTCTGTTTTTTTTGGATTGTAGTCTTAGAAATAAAATTCAAAATGAAAATGGAAATAACCCTATTAAATTTAACAGTCTTAATAAAAATATTAACGCTGAACGTTATTTTCATAGGATCAAATGGAAGAAATTCCCCGATTAAATTAAAGTTAAAACAATAAATTTTAGTTTAGAATCGTTTTAAACCGAATAGTTGTAACATTCTTCACAAATATTATTCATATACAACCGAGAAAAGAGAAAAACTGTGCGCGGAATTCAACGATGAAATGGGAAAAACTAACGTAACGTTCGTTTCAAATGGCTTGCCAAAATAGTTTTATAAAAGTGCCAGCTAACCCCTAAAGGTATGCAATATAAAGTAATATGTGTATTTGAATCTCTTCTGGCAACGTTTGCTATGGCCATCAACTAATTTACGTTTATTTGACCATCAAAAGACTCGTAACCCAAATATGAAAATGGGTTAGAGATGTGCGAGTGTGAGTGTGTGTGTGCATGTGTGTGCGAGTGTAGGCAGCGCCGCATTTTGGCAGTTTTGGACACTGCGGCTCGCCACAATATCAGACAAGAGTCCTTTTGACTAATTAGACGACTTGCGGTGAACGTAATCATAAATACACACACAGTCGTAATTATGAGATGAGGGCGTCACACAACAGCAACAACAACGGCAACAACATCGATAAGACAGCATATATGTGCATATATATAAGTAGAAGGCAGCTGCCTAAGCCGTTGAGTTAATTAATTTAAAACTGGCCGAAACTGCAGAGCCTCAAGTAGGCCTCGCGTCTTGGCCATGTGTGCAAAGCGTGTGTGTGCGAGCAGCCCAACTGGAAGCCCAAAATGCGAGCGCCTCTGTACGAACTTATTCTATTTTCTTTTTTCTACGATTTTTTTTCTTTCTAGATTTTCATTTTGCTTCTGTTTTTTTTTTTTTTTTTTTGGCAATTGGAAGCTGTGGCAGGCGCTGAATGTAGAGCGCAGCGCGCGCAGTTGAATATTCAAAAACTAGCGACTGGAAAAGTCAAAACGAAACAAATTTGGCTCAAGCAAAATACAAATCGAACAACTAAATCTTTGTGCCTGAGAAAAAAAAAACCAAAAACAATTAATATTAAAAAATAAATCAAATATTTTTAAGCTTAGCCAACACTGGCTCAAATAGGCATCACAAAAAAGTTGCCTAAGCCCCAACTTATATAAACTGCGAAAAAAACGAAAATGTTTCGTGTCATGTGAGAGTCGGCGCTGAATAGCGTGAGAGCGAGAGTGAGAGGGAGAGTGAGAGCGGATAAAGCAGCCAGCTGACAAGACGCTCTCGCACACATACGCTCTCTCAACCTCAGCCACTCTCGCGCTCTCTCTCTCTCTCACTCTCTCGGCATCACCTGATTTGCACAGCAGCCGCGTTTCGAACTAGAAACATGTTAAGGCTGATGCTGCTGCTGCTGCTGCTGTAAGGCCTAGCAGAAGGGGGAGGTAGGCGGTTGCTTATGGTGTGGATAGAGGGCAGGGCGAAAGAGGGGGCGGGGGTAGCTGTAACAGGCTACAGCCGCTGGCTGTTAGTTTGCCAGTTGTTGTTGTTGTTGTGCAGGCATTTAAATGTGTGCCAGGCACGCACACACACAAACACACACAGAGCCCGCACACCGGGCGTATGCGTAATTTAAATTTAAATTTGCGTGCGTGTGTGTGTGTGTGTGCGTGTGTGCAGCTGCTGCCTCTGCTCCTGCTGCTGCTGCTGCTGCTGCTGCTTAGCAGCTGCCTCAAGTTTTTCTTAATCAGCAGCGCAATTCACATGCTTGCAACGCGCTTTGCGACAGAGGCCATTCACGGCATTTTTTCTTCTTTTGGTTTTTTTTTTTTTTTTACTTTTTCTTTTTCATCTTTGCGCCCGAGCAAAGCTTTTCCTTTTGCCCCTGTTGCCCAGTTTTGTGTGGCGCTCATTAGCGGTCGCATTGTCGCAATACCCTGCGCCCACTCCCCCTCCTGACAGACCTCCTTGCCCCTCTCTTTATGCAGCTGCCGCGTTGACATGGTTGCAGCTTGTTGGAGCTGCCAGTTGGTCAGCTGCTTGTTGCAAGTTGTTTAAAGGCTCGCAACGAATAATTGCCAATTATACATACACACACACACACACACACACACACACGGCCATCAAATATGCAGTCAAATGTTTGCACAGACAGTGAAAAGTGCGGCACAGGCAGAGAGCTTCAGTTGCCAGTTGGCGACCTCTAAGTGCCACAAATTAACCGCAACGCGTTGCTTTTTTAACCCACACCCCCCTCCGCCCATTTTGTGTGCGCTCTCCAAAAACACTGATAATTACGAGCAGAAATATTAAACCCTGAACAGGGACAACTGCTGTGCGCGGATTTCTGAAGTGGGGGCAAGGTCCGCCCACCCACGCGCGGGGCGACTTCAATAATTAATGAGCAGCTAAAAATGTCACGCAGCGCTGTTGCCGCACGGAAGTGTCGGCGTCCCTCTGCAGGATTTAGCCATATAGCCGAGAGTTTACACACTGACAACAGCAGCAGCAGAGGCAGCAACAGCAGTCGGTTCCTTAAGCTAGCCAAATACCCAGCGAAAGGCAGACGGGCGAAAGGTTGCATAAATGACCTTTCCTTATAGCCAGGCTTCGCTGTAGCTGCAGCTGCAGTATATAGTATTCTATAACTAACACAAATAAGTTTTGTGTCCATTCTTACTCGAGCACGCACAACTCCGTACATGTTGCCGAATAATTTATTTCCCAACTAAGCCACAAAATTTTAAAGAGAAAACCAGCAAAAGAGATGGCAGGGTATTGCCTGGTCGTATACTTTGTTCGTAAATATATTTGCCTGTGTTTTCATTTGTCTTGTTGGACTGTGGCCAGGGGAGCTGGGGCCATGGAGATTTGGCATATTTTGGGGTTAACGGGCTGAATTTAAATGCGAGCTGTGTTGCGTTGCGCTGCGCTGTGACAAAGATTGCCAACCCATTGTCCAGTATTTAATTAAAACATGATGTAATGCGAGCGCGTGTCGTACCACTGAGAATCAGAGACGGAGAGAGGAAGAAAGGAAGAGAGAGAGAGAGACTGGGGCTACTTAAGAGAATCTATGCTACTTCACCTGTGCTAAGCATTGAGGAGATAAAGGCACAGTCCGAGAGGAAGCCAGAGAAATAGTCTAAAGATAGATTCTACTCCAAATATGTTAGCCATGGAAAACTCCAGGAGAGATTGTCCGAATCTATTCTACTTTCCCCATAAAGACAAGAAGAGTAATACCTAGCTAGAGAATGCAGGTGACAGGCGAGAAAGCTGCCCACTCCAATGGACAGTTTAAAAGACCATCCACCCAGACATAAACATATATGTGTAGATAGATAGATTCCCCTTGGCACTCACCTTGCAGTCATCGCACTGATTGACCAGCGAATACACCTGCCGGCAGTCGAAGCGAAAGAGTATCTCGGCCAGCTCGCATGTGAGGCGATTGGCCAACGCATCCACATCGAGCAAATCTCTGAGCAGGCGGACGCACTCGTCCCGATCCGTCAGCGTCACATTTAGCGCCAACGTGTGCAGCGCACTGAACACGCTGCGCTCGCAGCAATGGCGCAGGCGAAGGGTGCGCAGGCGCGCGAGCAGCTGACCCGGCGACCGCAGGCCGCACAAATGCTGTGGACTCGTCTCGGCCGCATCGCCCAGGTAATCAAGGCACTGTTGTTGTTGCTGCTGTTGCTGTTGTTGCTGTTGTTGCTGTTGTTGTTCGTTGGCGCTAAGTTGTTCGTGTGTTTGCAGGTGGCTGTAGGGAAACGTGGGCATGGACCGATCCTCCAGCTCGTCGACATCATTGCTGCTGGCTGTGGCCGAGAGTGTGGTTGCCTCCGGCTGTTCCAGTTCCTCCTGTTCCTGCTCATCAAACTCCTGCTCGGCTGTTGTGGTCGTTGCTGCCTCCGTTGCCAGCTCGTCCCATTGCCTGTCGCGTCGCACTCTAGACATGGCCTTATAGTTATTGTTGTTGCTGTTGCTTTGACTTAAACGCATATGCGGCGACTTATAGTTAATCGTATTTGCATTTATGAAATACTTGAGTTTATTATCGTCGGTGCGCGCGCCAGGACTACTCGCCGGTGGCTGCTGTTCGGCACAGGAACGCGGACAGATTGGCGGACCAGGTCCCTCATCGACCCAGGCCATGGGCAGTGTGCCAGGCGAGCACTGACCCTGCAAAAGAAAGAATAAAAACGATGATATATTAATATATAGCTAGGCTAATATAAACAAAAAATATATATAAAATATATATTAACCAAGTATTGAAAATAATCTTTATAATAAGAAAAGTCTTCTTCAGAAGTCTGCTTCACACTTAAAGAAACAAAGTTGAGTTCTCCACGATAAAAATATCTTGTAAATATTTAATATAGAAATGCAATCTCAAAAATCTCTTTGAGTTTTGCCTATTTTTAACAACTTTATCTCATTTTTCATTCTAAGCCATGTGAGCTCTTGAGTATTTCACTCTCAATTGAAGCAATAAGCAAGTTTATGGTTAAACTTTTGCCAGGCAAAGTTGAAAACTTTCAATAGTTTAGCAAGTGGCGAGATTTTGGATGGAAAATGAAAGCCAGAACACGCTGTGCCGACCACATATAAACTTAACTTTACTGCAAATATATATTTGAATGGGCAATTGAAATTTTGGGCAAACTGCCAAAAATTATGCAACCATTAAGACAGCAATTAGAATATGTTGAGGTTATAAAGAGTTTAAAGTGACTTAACACCTCAGAGAGAGAGAGAGAGAGAGAGAGAGAGAGAGAGAGAAAGGGGGAGAGAAACGTGAAAATCTAAAATTTTAAATGCATTTATTTGAGCGCAAATGTTTTGTATTATTTAAAAATTAAGCTGGATAGTGCTAAATGCAATGCACACACACAGAGAGAAGGGAGTGAGTGGAAAAAATATGGGATGCAAGGCAACGGGGTAGAAAACAAAAAGTACTCTGGTATATTGAAAAAGTTTTTCGCAGCTACTAACAACAACAACAAGAGGGAAAGTCATAAAATAAAAGAACAACAACAACAGCAAACGGGAGAGGAGAAAGCAAGTAAAATAGAAGCCAAACAACGAAACGAGCAGCAGGAACAACAATGGCAACGAGTGCATAAAGAGCTGATGTTTTTCGTTATTAAAATGACCGCACTTCGTTGGAATTTTCCACTTTTCCACATGCCCCGCCATTAAACTCGAGCAGAAGCGAACCGACAGCAACAGCAACAGCAACAAGCATATTTGTGAAGCAAAATTATCGTAGCATACTTTATGGCGGCGCCGTATCAATACGTACAGCCAGGCGGAACTGTTGGCCAACCGTTTATGGCCTTCACATGCCGGTCATTAAAATTGAAGGCGCAAAAAAAATATATATATTCAACAGACAATAACAAAAAATTAAACAGCGCTAGAAACCAAAGTGAAAGCTGGGGCAGCAAATAAAATCTGTAAATATAAACTAAATGCTCAACCAAAAACTGAAATAATAAAAGTTCAACCGAAAACCGAACCAGAACTTTAAAAAAAAAAAGAAGGAATAAAAACTAAAGCTGAGAAATACTTTATATGAACCAGAAATTGAACTCTGAACTAAGCTCACAGGCAAATAAGAGCACGCAATGAACTAGAAGTCAAATGCAATGAACCATAGATTCCTAAAAAGAACCAGAAACAGCTGAAGCAGAAAATGAATCAGCAACTGAACCAGAAACAGATCCTGAAGCTCAAGCAAGAAACAAAGCAAGAAATTTAGGACAAAAATAAAGAAAGATAGAGAGAGGCAGGTAAAAGAGTTCTTAAACTCCATTGTATAGAAATGGAACTAGTTCCTGGAACAAAAAAATAAGCTAAAAACGAAAGATAAACAGATTTGAAAGCGATCCAGCAGAGTCGTAAGTCCCAAGCAGAATTACGAAATAGAATAGCTGAACTGAAAACTCAACTAATTCCATAAACAGAACTTGGACTGGAACCAGCGAAATGAGGAACATGAACAGGAAACTAACTTAGGAGGGAACAAGCAGACTATTGACTAAAACGAATAGAACTGAAGAGAAAGCTAGGAGCTATATCAAAAACTAACTCACGAAAACAGAAAACGAAATCAATAACATAGACGACAAAAAGAACCAGTGAAAGAACCAGAGCAAGCACCAACAGCAGTGCGAAAACCAGTGCCAAAGACAAATAGAGTAGGGGACAATGTGCAAATTGCATTACAAGGAGCATCAATATTGCATGTCACACGCTCTGTCTGTCTGTCTGTCTGCCTATATGTCTGTCTGTGCGTGTATGTGAGCTGTTGAACTTTGTGAGCGCGCGTGTGTTTGTGAGAAATGTGCAGCAATCAACGACGCATAAAAACTCAATTGCCTGAGCCCAGAGAACTGTTTTATCCAGGGCAATAACAATAAGTTGAAATATTCCACGCAAAATATATATATACATACATATATATTTATATAAAAACATATATGCATATAAAAGTAAGGTTAGAGACGAATTAAAATGTGAAAGCGGGCCAAATGAAAAACCAGACAATGCACAATAACATACAAAACTCAATAACGAGGGCTGTGCAGCATATAAGACTTGCAGATGCTCTGCAACTAAATGAAAGCCAGAACAATTAATTTTAGTCGGTTTTGCCTGCAGATCAATAAAAGCAGGTAAAGATTATATTAGAATAGAATAGTTTGTCCCAGGACTCAAAAGAAGACAATGCTGAGCTTTCTCTTCTAATTCTCAACCAGTTTTAGCATATATCAAATAAAGATACACGTGTGTTATATATATTTTAGAGGCTACATAACTTAAGCAAACGATTATCTAACTTGAATGCAGGGTATTAAACACACAAAGACACACACACGGCGACAGGAAGGGAAGCACGTGTACAGAGCGCCATTGTTGATTTAATGGCAGACCAGCTGCGGCCCAGTGCACAACAATGCGACCCACTAGATGTTGCCTGTTCAGGGTTTGTGCAGGGTTTACCGGGCGGACACTGGGTCAGGGGTTGGGGCTTAGGAGCTTAACGTTAGCTAACGGACAATACAAGACAGCAACAAGATAAATTCTTGAATGCGCAACAGCGAAATAAGAAATTACAGTATGAACTGACGTTACAATTTGTAAAGGGTGCAGCACCCCCCCCCCCCCCACCTCCCCCCTCTCGCCCTCTTACAACACGTTTTCTCACAACCCCTTTTCGACCTGCCGTCGGGCTGATTAGTTGCGTTCATTTCAGTCGGATGGCTGTTCAAACAGTTTGCAAATGCAAAATAAATTCAAAGTTCTGCAAAACTTTGACGAGTTTTTGGTTCAAGGGAAAAATATGAAAAGTTTTGCCTGCTGCTGCTGCTGCTGCTGCGGCTAATACGGGCTAATACAGGCCAGGTGTAAGTGCGGATTGTGCCACACAAACTCACTTCGAACTGTTACTCAACTGTTGGGCAACACTTAATTATGTCGAATTGTTTTTGAACAGCATTCCATCTGCAGGCTAAATGCTTAGCTCAAGCACAAATTCTTAATAAAAATAATAACTTTTTATCATAAAAGTCAGTTGGATGGTTGGCATAAAAATTCCAACCAGCTAGGAGAAATGTTAATTGTTCGAGATTTACCAGCAAGAGCGTGAAAAGTGTACAAATAAAATGAGAGCTGAGAGTGGCCTCTGCCTTCGGGCAGGGCTGAGGGGTTGAGCTTCATCAACGCTTGCCCCCAAAGTGTCCTGGGTCAAGTGCGGCCCGCGGCGACGTATGGCATCCAATTCTGCCAGCTGCCAGCTGCCAACTCATTGTCTGAGCCAACAGCAAAGACAGGCACGAGGCTTATTAGACGAGCAGCTTTCAGCTTTCGTCCAGGGGCAGAGACAAAGGCATCTGTGCCACAAAGGACATTTAACTAGCTGAGTGTCAGTGTGTGTGCGTGTGCCTGTAAGTGTATGTATGTATGTGTGTGTGTGTGTGTGTGTGTGCTCTGCTATTAGGCATAATGCATACACTCCATTGTGAGAGGGCTTTGTCTAAGCACTAATTTTTAAGCACTTTCAGAGGACATTTCAATTTTATCACGAAATGTCTAGCTAACTGATATGAATATGTCCGAATGCATGAGGTATATATATATATATATTCTTGATCTGTAGCAACAGATAAATAGATATAGATATATTGGACTGTCAGTCAGAAATACTCCTTCAGCTTTATATTTAACTTTATAAGACGTGGCAGAGATCTCTTTTTGTGCTTAGCTGCCGTTAGATCGAAGATTAAAGTCGGATCGTATCATTATATCATCTATAAGTCTGACATTTACGAAATTCAATTAGAAATTAAGTTTTACTTAAGACAACTTGATAGCTGGTCTCCCAACTTTGCTGTTATATTATATGAATAATCACTTGACTATATTATATAGAGTCCCATTACAGCAATAGGTCTAAAATATATAAAAAAAACTCTTCTAAGCAAGAAAAATGAAGTGCTTGGAAGGGTATGTAAGCTGCGGCGCTCCAAAGATATATATTTTCCTTTTTTTTTTTTGTTTGTGGCTCTTTAATTAGGGGCAAGGCGAATGACAACTTGTTGTTGCCGCAATAAAGAGCTTAAGTTCGCCTGTCAGTCAGCTGGTCAGTCGCCAGCTTGATGACAGCTTCCATAAGAAAAACAAAAAGAGAGAGCGAGAAACAGAGAGAGAGAGAGAGAGAGAGAGAGTAAGAGGGAAAAGGACAGGCACAGTTGTGCCTATCAGCCTGTCCACAGAAGCACATGAATGTTTTAGCTTTTGGCCACGTGTGAGTGTGCCTCTCTTTGTTGCTGCAACGTTAGCAGCTGTTGCAATTTCAATTATCCACAGCTACAATGATGAATATTTCATGCCAAACATTTTCGAATTTCATTTCTCCCTCGCCCCTCTATGGGCTTAAATGCCGCTTTTCATTTTTTGCTCTAACGACTCAACGGGTCGTGCACGGCAAGAGTAATGTACCATGCGGCATGTGGCATGTGGCATGTGAATTTTCGATTGTTGTTTTGCCAAGCTCTTGCAACTGGCAACTGGCAAGTGACAAGTGCCAACTGACATTAGCATAATTGTCTCTAAAATGTTTGTTTTTTGCCCGAGCTCGGTTTTTCTAGTGCGCAAGTTTATGTCAGCGAAAC